AAGGGTGGATAGCCGGTTCGAGGGTCTGGGGCTCCCCTTTCCCCCTCCCTAGGAGGAGAGAGCTGCATAGACAGCGGCGCGGCGATATGTGACATCATGCTCGTTTGGTTGTTTCTTTTTTGGGGAGTTCTATCCACTTGTTCGGCTTTTGGTAGCAATTTTCACCAGAATAGGGGTTTATTTTGGGACGCTTATCTTTCTGGATGCCTGACCCGGTCGATGGCAGACATAGAATCCTTCCAACCACACGGGGGTTTCTATAGGCCATTGCTCCCGCATGCCTCTCTGAGGGGGGCCAGGTTCTGGCTAGTGGTCCCCGGTAGGCCCACAGAACTCCATACACATGACTAATGCCAAAGTCTGACATTAGCGTATCAGCCTGGATAAAGTCCGGGGAGCTTCCGGGTCTCACCCAGAAAATGGCGTTTCATTACATTCAACGCTGTAATTTGCCTGTTTTTGTCTTGAAAGTCTGTCACTTCATGATTGCAAGACTCCCATATGTTCTGAAAAAACCTGAAGTATGATAATGTTACTTATACTGCTTCTGAAATAAAAAATCAAACAAAGCAGATCATGGAGCTTGTGAATAAAATGGAAAGCAGTGGTGGTAAGATAATTTGCAGGAAAACATCGAAATCTTCCAAGTATGAATGGATGAAGCAGTTTATCAGTGGTTAATATAGCCCCGTAGGCAAAGAGTAGCTGTTAGTGGTGTACAGTTAGTCTGTTCATGAAAGAATGGAACGAACCATGGGCATGGAGAACTTTAAGGCCAGTTTAAAGTGGATACAGAAGTTTAACAGACTGTATGACATTGTACTTTAGCCATATTTTGCAGCTTCTGAATTGACAAAACTAGCTTGTAATAGAAAAATTGCATGTTAAAAAGTAAATTTTTCACATTTTGTTCCATCATATTGTACAGTATTTTTTGTGTACACAAATCATTTTTTCTGGGGGAAGCCCCGTCGGCTTCCCGGAGCTATCCAGGCTGATATGGATATTATTAGCTTTCTGGCATCAGTTAATGTGCATGGAGTTCTTGCCTACTGGGGACCACAAGCCAGAACCTGGCCTCCCCTCAGAGAGACACGAGCAGCAATTGCGTACAGAAACCTCCTTGTGGTTGGGAGCATTCTATGTCTGCCATCAACCGGGTCTGGCACCCAGAAAGGTATGCACCCCAAAACAAACCCCTATTCTTGTGAAAATATTGCTACCGAAAGCCGACCGAGTGGACAGAACTCCCCAAACAAAAATTAGCAAACGAACATGACATCATCACGTTGTTGCGCCGCTGTCTGCATAACCTAGGAGGGGGAAGGAGCCCCAGACTCTCGTGCTGGTGATCCAACCTCTGATGTGATGTGATGTTCTTGGCTGATGTGATACTCACAAGTCATGTGCCTCTGGCCCCTGATTTGGTCTCAGTTTCTGTGCCTTGTGGCATGGTCTGTCTCTACAGGTGGTCTGTGAGTCAGGAGTAATATTCTATGATACTTGGGCTGCATTCGCTTCGGGTTTCTTTCCCTAGGTGCCCAGTAAGCACTGCCCTTGGGGCCACCTTCCACAAGTCGCCTTGGGATCTACCTACGCTGCGTCTTTTACTGCTCAGTACTTGGCAGCCCATGGAGTCAGCTGGGGATTTTGTTGCCTTTGTTTGTCTCTGGGTAAGGGGTAGTTTTCATCACTGGTAGGGCTGCGGGGTACTGCACAGCTAGTTATCACCTATTATAGCAGCCGGCTCTGTTCCGCCTGGGTACGTTGTCCTCTTGCTGGGTTTTTCTTTTGCCTTTGTTTTCCTGCCTGGTGGGGGTCTGCCTTTGGTTGGTTGCCCCCAATCTGCATTTAGGGTTTATATATCCTTATCTGTCTTCTTGGTGGTACCCCTTGCTAGGCCTCCGTGAGTGGACACATCCCAGGGGTTCAGCTTTTAGAAGTTTGCTCAGTAGTCTTGTGCGCCAGTTCGCAGTACCCTGCCTGGGCTTCCCTTAGTGTGATACCAAGGCCAAGGGCCCCTGGGAAACCCTGCAGAGGCCCCATGGTCCGATGTATGCGATCCTTGAGGTCCCCCTCACTTCATGCAAGGTTGAAAGTTGCTCTGTCCCCTTGTCTCAGGGTGACACTCAATCATTGTGTCTCCGCCATGCTACCTGTTGGGTCGGGGATTCTTTTGACCCGGAGTCGTGCGACATTTGTTGCCTGTACATGCTCCAGTTCACCCAAGCTACTGAACATGGTATGAGGGTGCAGGCAGCAGAGGCGTTGCATGCTCAGTTTAGGTTGCTGCAAGGTGGTAGGTTCATTGCTTCCCTCGATGCCCAGAGACTGCCCTGTTTTGGTTATAAGGACCCGGACTTGGGGGTAAGAGTTGCTTCAACTTTGGTTCTGTCTGCCCTCCTTGTCCTTCCCCTTTGGTTGTTCATCCAGTCTCCCCATACCCCTTGCTTCTGGCTCCGAATTGTCTGAGGGTTTCGGAGTCAGGGCAGGGTTTAGT